ATATATACCTTATAGTACAGTAAATAAATGAATGTATATGAAGGTGCATATTGAAGGTGTCTGTTATAACAATCAGTTGTCTGTATGTGTTGGTAAAGAGTAAATTCAAAGTAGTCCAATAAATATAAACTAATTATATCAGTGTAATAAACATGTCTTTTTCTGTTCATCCTTCACGCCATCATTTGATTTAAACTTTTAACGTTTCTGCTCAGGTGAGGCTGAATGTGACGTCTGAATCAGCAGTTATCTCCAACCTGCAGCACTTCACCAGTTACACAATCGAGATCATGGCCTGCAACCATCCTGAAGACCCCAGACGCTGCAGCCTGGCCACTTATGTCAGTGCCCGAACCATGCCTGATGGTAAATGGACCGAGAATCTGCCTGCACGTTTCACACAAACACGCGGATTCATCGCAGCTGCACTTTGAGAAAGAAAGGACTCACGTTGTTTGGCATTTTAAAACTGTATTTTTCATGTTCGTCAGTAAAAGCAGACAATATCCCCGGCCCGGTGACCCACGAGGTTCTGACCGGTGAGACTCCCTCTGTGTTGATTAAGTGGAACGCTCCGCCTTCGCCCAACGGCCTGATCATCCTTTATGAGGTCTTCTACAAGAAGGTCGGAGACACCGAGGTAAATATGGACAAACACAAATTTGCAAGATCAGCATATTTGGGGAAAATAACATTTAGGAGACCAAGTCAAAAAGTATTTAAAAAAAAAAACAGAAATCTGAAAAAGTGAATCTTGAAAAGATTATTGTTTACAGTGTTACTCCTGTGTGCTGACATCTTCTCTGTGTGTTTTCCCAATGAAATCCTGTTGTCTGCGTGTGCTCGCTGTGTGTTGTTCACTTGCTGTAAACGTGAATTGCTGCCGTTCACTGCTGCACCGCATGACCTTAGGAGCCAGCAGCAGCCTTGTTGCTACGGCAACAAAAGCAGGAAGGAAAGGCAGTGGCGGCGATGGAGTCGCATCCCAGGCGACAGCTTTGCTGCACTGCACTGAAAACCCTTCACATACTCGCAGGCTTTGCAGCTCAGGCTTATTTAAAACCATGTTTGAAGCATTTTGGGAGTTCCAGTTATTAGACTTGTTCTGACCCGGAGCAAAACTCAATAACACTTGGAGACTTTTTGTTGTAGCAGAAACTGTCTTTGTTTTTGTTTGTTTTTTATTTTATTTTATTTATTTATTATTATT